TCTGCAGGCCGCCCACCACTCCCACAAGACCCCTCTCCAGGTCCCTTAGATGCAAACTGACCTTCCACAGCTGTACAAGATCCCAGCTCCCACAAACCAAAGGCTGACTGACCTGGGCAACTGAAGCCCCTCCAGCCCTGGCCTTCTGGGGCTTCTATGTGAAAGTCTCTCAACAGTGCCCTCTTGTGATTCCTAATTCCAAGCTTCATGATGATGCCTGCAAGTGGAGGGCCACCCGGGGTCCATCTGTGGAAGCTGTGGTCCTGTGTGGGCTGCAGTGACATTGTCCTTGGGTTAATCAGAGCACACGGTGCAGCCCCGGGTACCACTCCCCAGGAGCACACCTGCACAGATGTAGACAGCGGAGCCAAATGCCCCCATGCACCTGGAACATAGCCACTGCCCCCACCACTGAGGGCCAGACACCATCGCCCCCCACCAGGTTTCCTGCTGCAGCCTCCAAGCCGGCCTCCTGTATCCACTCTCCCCACTCTGTTATGTCCAACACACCTCAGCTGGAATGGTTTCTCCAAAATGCAGCCTGTGGTCACGGGCTGCTGTGGCCACTCCCTTGCCCTGTCCTCTCCAGCCACTGACAGGGCCAGGGAGCCCAAGGCTTCACAGCCTTCTCGAATGTGCCCTGAACCTGGCTGTGGTGCAGGCTTTGTTCATGCAAGTGTGATGCCCTGGCTGCCTCCCAAAGCCTCCTAGGCTTTCTGCCATCTGCTTCATCCTCCAGTGCTCTTGGCTGCCCATGCCACAACCCAGCCACCCTGAGTGGCTTATGTGGCCAGAATGCCTCCACCTGTCACCTCCAGACTATCACACCGACTGTGCCTGTGCCCTGGCACTCTGGCCTCACCTTTCATTGCTAGGCTACCTGGAACGCTCTTCAGGTTTCTGCTCCAACGGCCCTTCCTCCGTGACTGGTGAGATGGGGTCTGCTCACCTTGTCTTGAGTTCACCCCAAAAGCAGAGCCTGAGGCAAGGATTGAGTGCAAGTGTATTTTGGGTGAGGTGATTCAGGGAGCCCTGTGAGGGGGTGAGGAGGCGAGACGAGGAAGGAGAGCCAGCATGAAGGATGTTAGCAAGAAAGTGGCCCCTGTGGGTGATAGGGGTTCAGTCCCATTGGGAACATGGCCCAGAGTCATCCCCATCGAAGGGCAAGGGGACTGAAGTGCTGATCCACACTTCCCACCCATCACTGGCCAATGGCTGCTCCTGGGGCATCATCTCTGCTGTACATCCAGGCTGTTGTCCCTGCAGAGGCTCCCACAGCGAGAACACCCCAGAGAGAGGCTGATGGTCCCACGTTGCAAGTGGGAATGGTTAGCAGACCATTAGCTCTGACAGAGCTCCTGGGCCATCCCTGTGTTCATGTGTGCCTCACTTATGATGGCAATGACCCCCGCCTCAATTACAATGCCCCAGCAGCCCAGTGGCATCTTGGGAGCAGGGCATGTCCTCTTATGCTGGCTCCCTGGTACCTGGCATATAATGGACACTCAATAAATATCTCCTGATTGAATAAATGATGCTTAATGTTGCCCTAGGGCCACTGAAGACATGCCCCAAGAGAACACAGCTTCCATTCCCCCAGGGAAGATGAGAGGCCCTCCACTGCAGAGATACAGATATGCCCAAGATACTCCATGAGGCTCTGGGCCACTGACTGTAGCCCTGTTTTTTCTGTACATCTGAGACTCCTACCTCTTTCTTGCTTCTGTTGCTAAGCTGGACCTCCCACTTCAAGCATCCCAGAGTCTGGTTCCTGTTTGACACTTTTTTCAAGAGAAACAGGATCTTGCTGTATTGCCCAGGCTGGAGTGCAGTGGTGTAATCATAGCTCATTGTAGCCTTAAACTCCTGGGCTCAAGAGATCCTCCCACCTCAGCCTCCCAAGTAGTTGGGTCTGCTAGGCATGTACCGCTATGAGTGGCTAATTTTTATATTTTTGTAGAGACAGGGTCTTGCTATATTGCCCAGTCTGGTCTCGAACTCCTGGCCTCAAGCATTCCTCCCCAGCCTCATAATAAGCTGAGATTACAGATGTGAGCCACCGTCCAAGCCTGTTTGTCACTGTTAGGTCCTCCCTGTGGTCACCTCCATGGGAATGTGTCCTTTCCTTCCTGCCTGGGCAGTAATAACACAGATCTGCTCAAGGACAGAAACTGAGTAGTTTTATTTTCTTCTTTGTAGTTCTCTGTATCCTTAAAACCTTTCACAGTGAATTGTGTTGCTTCTACAATTAAACTTCTCATTTCGAGATAATTACAGACTCATATGCACATACATTAAATAATACAGAGAGGTGGGGAGCGTTGATCACACTGTAAATCCCAGCACCTTGGGAGGCCAAGGCAGGCAGATCACTTGAGGTCAGGAGTTTGAGACCAGCCGGGCCAACATGAAGAAACCCCAACTCTACTAAAAATACAAAAATTAGCCAGGCATGGTGGCAGGTGCCTGTAATCTCAGCTGCTCAGGAGGCTAAGGTAGGAGGAACGCTTGAGCCCCAGGGGTGGAGGCTGCAGTGAGCCAAGATTGAGCCACTGCCTTCCAGCCAGGGCCATGGAGTGAGACCCAGCCTCAAAAAAAAATAAAAGAAAAAGAAAGAGACAATACAGAGAAGCCCCATGTTATCCTTTATTCGGTTTGCCCCAATTGGTAACACATGATAAAACCACAGTACAATACTGCAACCAGAACGCTGACACTGACGCATTTCCAGCCACAACAATACCTCTCACTGCCCCTCTATACCCACGGGCCCTTCCGTCCCACCAGACCCAGACCCCTCCTGAGCACCTGGAAACCACCAATCTGCTCTCCATTTCTGTAATTTATCATTTCATGGTGGTATGCAGGACAACTGGATAGCCACAACCCCCACCTTATGCCATATACAGAAATTAAACTCAAAATAGATTTTGAAAACCTAAATGTAAGAGCTAGAAAGATAACAGTTTTAGAAGAAAGCACGGGGCCAAGCGTGGTGGCTGACACCTGTAACTCCAGCACCTTGGGAGGCCAATGTGGGCAAATCATGAGGTCGGGAGTCTGAGACAAGCCTGACCAACATGGTGAAACCCCGTCTCTACTAAAAATACAAGAGTAGCCAGGCGTGGTGGCACGTGCCGGTAATCCCAACTACTCAGGGGGCTGCGGCAGGAGAATCACTTAAACCTGAGAGGTGGAGGTTGCAGCGAGCCGAGACTGTGCCATTGCACTCCAGCCTGGGCAATAGAGCCAGACTCCATCTCAAAAAAAAAAAAAAAAAAGTGCCGGGCATGGTGGCAGGCACCTGTAATCCCAGCTACCTAGGAGGCAGAGGCAGAAGAATCACTTGAACCTACAAGGTGGAAGTTGCAGTGAGCCGAGATCACACCACTGCACTCCAGCCTGGGCGACAGAGCGAGACTCCAACTCAAAAAAAAGAAGAAAACACGAGTGCGAGCGTAATTCCTGTGACCTTGAATCCAGCAGTGGTTTCTTAGATATGAGCTTACCACCTAAAGTCCACGCAACCTGGGAAAAAGTAAAACCTTACGACTTCAAAGGACATCATCAAGAAAATGAAAAGACAACCCACATGACAGGAGAAAACACTTGCCAATCATATATCTGATATGGGTCTAGCATCTAGAAGATACACAGAACATTTACAACTCAATAATAAAATGAGCGATAGGCAGCCAAATAAAATGTAGACGAGGGGCCGGACGTGGTAGCTCATGCCTGTAATCCCAGCAACGTGGGAGGCAGAGGCAGGAAGACTGTTTGAGCCCAGGAGTTCAAGACCAGCCTCGGCAACAAAGCAAGACCCCATCTCTATCAAAATAAAATAACATAAATAGCGGAGTGTTGTATGAGAGGCTGAGGCAGAAGGATTGCTCAAGCACAGGAGGTAAGTTCTGGTGAGTTATGACTGCACCACTGCATTCCACCCTGGGTGACAGAGTGAGACCCTCTCTCAAAAATATGTATATGTGGGGGGGCATATCTATATATATGTATTTGTATATGTCTGTGTGTGTCTGCATGTATGTGTTTGTATCTATATATAGGCAAAGTATGTGAATAGACATTTTTCCAAAGAAGCCATACAAATGTCCAATAAGCACATGGAAAGACATTCAACGTAAGCAGTCATTAGAAAAACGCAAATGGAAACCACAATGAGATACCACTCCATACCTGCTAGGATGGCTATCAGCAGAGCCACAGATGAAGCAAGTGTCATGAGGACACAGGGAAATGGGAACCCTTGTGCACTGCTGGTGGGTGTAGAAAATGGTACAGCTGCTGTGGACAAGAGCTTGGCAGTTTCTCAAAACATGAAACATGGAGTAACATATGGTCCAGCAATCCCAATCCCAGGCATACACCCCAGAGAAATGCAAACCTCCATCCACACTACACCTGTACGCAAATGTTCATAACTGCATTATTCACAAAGTAGAATCACCAAAAAGCAGAAACGGCTCAAAATCCAACCATCAAAAGAAATGACATCCTGACGTATGCCTCAACATGGATGAAGCTTAATCCTGAGTGAAAGAAGCCAGTCATCAGATACCACACACTGGATAACAGCATTGAGACAAAATGTCCCAACAAGCAAGTCCAGAGACAGAAAGTAGATCAGAGGTCACCAGGCATTGGGGAGATGGAAAAGAGTGACTGCTTAATGGTATGGAATTTTTTGCAGTGAATGTTCTAGAATGAGTGGTGATGGTTACACAACGCTGGAAATATATTAAAAACCACTGAATTGCATACTCTAAAAGAGTGAATTTTATGACATGTAAATGATAACTCAGATTTTAAAATTCAATTCACATACAATATTATACAAAACGAGACCCACCGCACACAGGTGCTGAAGCCATTTCAGACTCTCATCCAGCTGCTCTGCTGTCCATTGGCAGAGGGAAGAGACACTGGAAACAGCTTCCTCTCCCAGGGACACAGAGGTGGGAACAAGGCCCTGCCTAATAACGGAAAATCAGAGGTTATCATTTAAGAGTTGGCCAATTTAGAGTTTCACAAATAACATCTATTGACCACATTCATAGCAGAATCTCACCCACATTCACATGAATGCCATTACAACCAAGAATCGCCTAATGATAATTTGGGTTGAATTCTGGGTGTGGATTATGTTATATGGGAAAACAGCAGCTGTCACAGATGCCTCCTGATCACAGGAGTGGCCCTGGAGGCTTTCTGGGGGAGGTATCCCAGCAGGAAGCTATGGCTGTGGGCAGCAAAGGTGTCAGGGGCAAAACTTGAAGCCTGGGTGAGGGCAGGGACTAGAGACCTGGGAAAGGGGCCTTCTAGTATGGAGCCTGGCAGCCAGGGCTCAAGCTGGGGACAGGCGGGAGGACCCCATGCCTGACAGGGTGCTCAGACCTCAGAGGCTGGAGGGTGAGTAGCCGTTAAGATGCACTGCCAATCCCAACATAACAATGGAAATATATGGAAACTGGGGCCCCTGTTCTTCTGGGAGCAGGGCCATTTCAGAACTTGGGAACAGGTAAGGGGTGAAAGGAGAAACCTGGAAATGCCCCACAAGGCCCCCACTGCTCCCAGGCTGCCCTGGCATCTCTAGGTGAGATAGGACAGAGCCTGTGCTGTGCAGAACGCCACAGGACACACTCACAGTGCCAGGCCTCTGGTGCCTGTCAAGCTAACCCCTGCCCCTGACTCTCCCATGTCTCTGATGGCCACCAAGCCTCCTTCAGGTGGGTACCTCTATGCCAGGGCCACCCGCTGTCCCCCATCCCCCCACCTGCTCACCAAATGGCCACAATGACCCTCGGGATGGCCTGGAGGAGGGTCAGGAGGCCGAGGGGCAGCAGGTGTGCTGGAGAAGCCAGCAGCTCGTCCTGGTAGGGAGCCTGGAGCAGCCATTAGGGCAGCAGGCACCCATCACCACAGATTCTGCAAGCAGTTGTGCCAGAAACATGCATCCAGCGGGGGTGCTAGGCCAAGAAAAGGTGGGATGAGGACAGGGCACATTCCCTGGGTCTCTGCAAGCCACGAGGAGGCTGCAACACCAGCCCCAGAGCCTCTGGGAAACAGGGACTTCCAGGATCCAGCCACAGCCCCGTGGTGGAAACACTGACCCCGAGCTCACAAGATAAAGGCCATCTTGTGGGTTTATGATTTCCTGGGTGACAGCGGCCTTGGAGATATTTTTCAAGAGTCTTTCTCTTTTAGAATCTCATAAGGAGCATGCACAATGTCCAGCTGGAACTTGCTTCCAAATCCTCTTTTTTTCTGGAGCAGGAGCAGGTGATGGAGATCAGAGGAACCACACAGGATAGTGACTGGAGCTGAGTGATGGCCACATGGGGCTGATTTAAGCCAATCTCCACTTTGGGGAGTATCTGAAATTTTCCATAACAAAAATGGAAGGAAAGCCACAAGCACAGAGGGAATCTGGGGTTTCCATTTCCTTGATGATCGTCAGCACTTTCCAGACGAGCTCTGGCCAGCATGTGATCCTCTGGATACTAGAGTTTGTTTTTATTTTTTATTACACTGTTAATATGCTACTAATATAAAATATACACTAATGATATTAATGTAAATATCATAAATTTACTCTCCTTATGAAAAATTATGCCACAAAAACATAGAGGAGAAAGGCGCCTAAGTCCGTCTTTACAAGAAAAAATGTAAGATCAGAAATGTGAACTTTCTCGTTAAAATGGAAATCAGTCAGATTTGAGGCCAAAGAAAATGTCTCACATTTTTAAATCACTCTGTACTTGCGGCCAGAGGGAAGAACGATCATAATTCTCCTGGCAGCAATGAGACACTCTATTAATCCTTTGCTGGGAAATCTTCTGGCATGAATGGGTTTGAGGCTTAAAACATTACTTATAAAAATTACCTAAACTACAAAAGAAGGATTAGAGTAAAAATTAATGCTGTTTTTTTAAAGTATCAGTTATCAGATGATACATGTCAACTAAGCTTTTCTTAAAAGATGCAACGTTTTCAAAGCCAAAAATAGTCAATAAAAGTAAACCCACAAATGTGCGATTACACGGTTCAAAGAGCCTTAAGAGGTGAGTGGTTACATGGTGATCATTCACTTCCCAAGCATTCCCCAACCCCAGCCTCTGGGGGTTCTACTCAAATCACTCACCTTTTCCAGGAAGCCAGCTCCATTCAGATTTACTCATTCATAGATTCCATCAAGGCAAACTCACTACGAAGAACTGGTGCACCAAGGGAACGACACGATGCCAGCCCAGAAAACACAGACATGGCAGCCCTCCGCACCAGAAAACACCTTCAAGATCAAGTCCAACCCACTCCTTTTACAGACAAAGAAAGTAATGGTGGGGGTGGAGGTTCTGATCTCCCCATACACTGTCATGAGAGCTGGAATACACATACATGCCAGGTCACAGATAGGGCAATCTACATATCAGGTTATAGGCACATGCATGTATAAATACACTTAACTAAGAATACATAAGGGGACTGCAGAAAGTTCAAAGAAAATGGAATTAAAAGACAAAAATAGGCTGGGTGCAGTGGCTCATGCCTGTAATCCCAACACTTTGGGAGGCTAAGGCAGGTGGATCACCTGAGCTCAGGAGTTCAACACCAGCCTGGTCAACAATAAAACCCCATCTCTAAGAAAAATACAAAAATTAGCCAGGCGTGGAGGTATGCTCCTATAGTCCCAGCTACTTGGGAGGCTGAGACAGGAGAATCACTTGAACCCAAGAGGTGGAGGTTGCAGTGAGCCAAGATCATGCCATTGCACTCTAGCCTGGGTGACAGAGTAAGACTCCATCCCAAAAAGAAAATCAAATTTAAAATTAAAAAATAAGCCAGGTGCAGTAGCTCACGCCTGTAATCCCAGCATTTTGGGAGGCTGAAGCAGGTGGATCATGAAGTGAAGAGATCAACACCACCCTGGCTAATACAATAAACCGCCCCCCCTACTAAAAATACAAAAAATTAGCCGGGCATGCTACTCGAGAGGATGAAGAAGGAGTATCACTTGAACCCAGGAGGCAGACATTGCAGTGAGCCAAGATTATACCACTGCACTCCAGCCTGGGTGACAGAGTGAGTCTCTGTCTCAAAAATAAAAATAAATAAAAATTAAAAATATCTCCAAAAAGTAAATAAATAAACAAATAAAATGAAAAAGAAAAATATCTATTAAAAAAAGGGGGGGAAGCAGAAAAATCAAGTTTTTTAAAAAAGAAAAAAAATAACTTTGTTTCTCTTAAGCACCACAAGCTCAAGACACTATTGTCAGTGATGGCACCAGTCATTTAGTCCATCTTGAAAGAGCTGAGGGTCCTGGGAAATTAACCCCATCAACGCAATCTTTTTTTACATTATTAACGGAAGAAAATGGGTGCCTGCTAAAGATTTTTTAAGATTAGGAAACAAGTCAGAAAGAGCCAAATCAGGACTGTGATTTGGCTGTAAGGTGGATACCTAATAATTTCCCATCAAAACTCTCTCAAAGTTGCCCTTGTTTGGCAAAAGGAATGAGCAGGAGCCTTGCTGTGGGAGAGAGGGACTCTCCTGGCACTTTCCAGAGCATTTTTCTGCTAGAGTTTTGGCTAACTTCCTCAAAACACTCCCATAGCAGGCAGATGTTACTGTTCTTTGACCCTCTAGAAAGTCAACAAGCAAAATGCCTTGAGCATTCCAAAAACCTGTTGTCATGACCTCTGCTCTTGACCTGACCACTCTTACTGGGATGAGACCACATTCAGCTCTCGGTAGCCATTGCTTTGGTTGTGCTTTGTCTTCAGGATGGTACTGGTGAAGACATGTTTCATCTCCTGTTACAATTCTTCAAAAAAGTTTCGGGATCTTGATCCTGCTTCTTTGAAATTTCCACTGAAAGCTCTGTCCTTGTCTGCAGCTGATCTGGACACAATGGTTTTGACGCCCTCTGAGTGGAAGGTTTTGCTCAACTTTGATTTTGCAGTCCGAGTTGTGTAAGATGAACCAGTGGAGATGTCTATGGTGTTGGCTAGAGTTTATTTCAGTAATCATCAGTCCTCTTTGAGTTAGGGCATGAATGAGATGAATGTGTTTTCTCATAAATGGAAGTGGATGTTCTGCCACTGCAGGCTGCACCCTCAACATCATCTCATCGCTTTTTAAATGAGTTACTCATCTGGAAACTGATTTCTGTGGAGCATTGTCCTCATAAACTTGTCATAAAGCATCAATGATTTTACCATTGGTCCACCCAAACGTGACCATAAATGTCATGTTTGTCCTGGCTTCAATTTTACCAGAATTCATGTTGCTATGATAGGGGCTTTTTTTTTTTTTTTTTTTAGATGAAGTCCAGTCTCGCTCTTTCACTCAGACTGGAGTGCAGTGGCACCATCTCGGCTCACTGCAACCTCCGCCTCCCAGGTTCAAGCAATCCTCCTGCCTCAGCCTCCTAAGTAGCTGGCGCTACAGGTGCGGGCAACCACACCCAGCTAATTTTTGTTTTTTGGTTTTTGTTGAGACAGATCTCACTCTGTCGCCAGACTAGACTGTAGTGGCATGATCTCGGCTCACTGCAACCTCCGCCTCCCAGGTTCAAGCGATTCTCCTGCCTCAGCCTCACAAGTAGCTGAGACTACAGGTGCGTGCCACCACGTGCAGCTAATTTTTGTATTTTAGTAGAGACAGGGTTTCACCATGTTGGCCAGGATGGTCTCAATCTCTTGGCCTCGTGATCCACCCACCTTGGCCTCTCAAAGTGCTGGGATTACAGGCATGAGCTACCATGCCTGGCCAGTAGGGGCTCTTTTTAAACTGATGTCTTTTCCTTCTTAGCATCTGAAACCAAATCCTGTTCAGTTACATTATAACAAGTTAGTATGAGTTTAGTTTGGTGCAAAAAAAAAAATTGGAATCCATACATTGTTTCATTTTTTTTTATTATACACATTTTTATTTTCTGGGAGAGAGAGTCTCACACTATTGCCCAGGCTGGAGTGCAATGGTGTGATCTCAGTTCACTGCAACCTCTGCCTTCCGGGTTCAAGCAATTCTCATGCCTCAGTCTCCCAAGGAGCTGGGACTACAGGCACGTGCCACCATGCCCAGCTAATTTTTCGTATTAGTAGAGACAAGGTTTCACTACGTTGCCCAGGCTGGTCTCAAACTCCTGAGCTCAGGCAATCCAGCCTCCTCAGCCTCCCAAAGTGTTGGGATTATAGGTGTGAGCCACTGTGCCTGGCATATTATATGCATTTTCCGTGAACTTTTTCAAGCCCCCTCATATGAACACAAAGTATATTGTGAATGCATGAATGTGAGTATAGACTATGTCAATCATGAACCCGTGAATGTATAAACACGAGGTCACAAATACATGAATGTATGAGCACACTAGGTAATGAATAGATAGGTAAGTACTGTGTTTTGAATATACGATGTGCCATGAATATATGAATGTATGAGCATAGAATAGGATATATACAGGAATATGTACTATGTCATAAATATATATACACACACACACTACGTCATAATTTATAGCACATTAGAGCTTAGTAAAGCCTCCTGAAGTCTCATCTAAGTCCAGGCTGGGAGCTGGTTTCATTCAGACAGCAGATGCTGGCAGATGCTCCTGTAGAGCAGAGGCTTCTCTGGGCTCACTGGGGAAAGGTAGGTGACCAGGGATGGCTGGTGAGCAGGGGAGGGGAAGCCGCATGTATGTCACTATCACACTGTGGGCAGGTGTCTGGGGATGAGAGGTCCGCCCCCCACCATGACATTCATGGACCTTTCTGGGGAGGGGGATGACAGGAGACACACGCACACCTTGGATGCCTTTCAAACTCTCCTGCCTCCTCACCACCTAAAAGACAAGAACGAGGGCAAGCACATCAGCCCGGCAATCCTCCAAGGTGGACGGCCCAGTGACTGGGACTCTGAACCTCCAACAGGGGCGCTGGCCAGCTCAGGATACAAGCCACGGGCTTCTCCTCATGAGGCCTGTGGGCTCTTCTCTCTGGGGACAGCCTGCTACCCAATAATGGAAAACCAGCAACTAGAAGTCATGGTGAAGGAAGCCCCTGTCTACCACCCAGGACACAGGGAAAGCAGGGGAGTGAGAGGCCCAGGGGCTAGGAGGAGGCCTGCAGCTGCTGCCCAGAATTAGTGCTGTAGAGATGGACAGCAAGAGAAGAGAGGACAGGCCATCCAGTAATGGTCCATCCCAGGAACCCTCCTTCCCACCTCTCTCCATCCAGGCAGGGCCAGGTGAGAGAGTTAGAGGATGGGCCAGGCCAGGGAAGGAAAGAGATGTGGGAAGGAGGAGGCAGGGAGGTGAGAGAGGTCAGGCAGAGTGCAGAGGGGCAGGAAGAGGAGAGACAGCAGCAGCAGCAGTGGGTGCCAGAACAGCCACCCCTCTGCAGAGAACAGTGCAGCCCTGCCCTTCCACTGCCCACCAGGAGACCAGGGCTGGCCCTCCCTGAGCCACACCTGTCCTCTGTGCTCCCGGGCCTGTGGCCACAGCTGCTAGGGGATCTTCTCTGGACACCAGCAGAGACCTTTGCGGCAGCAGAGACCTTTGCGGGAGCAGAGCCCAGGCACCCCTCTTCCCCGTCTTCCTCTCATCTCCCCTTCACCCGGCCCCCACCTCACTCTTCAGTCCTCACTGCAGTGTGCTCCTCCTCCTTACCTGCTGCTGAGACCTCAGGACCTGGGGCACCCAGTAGGGCATCACTACCTGGTCTGTAGGCTTCGGGACATAGCCTCCAAAGCAGTGGAATGGGCAGGGGCACATCTTGGTCGTTTGGTGGATATAAAATTGAACTATCTTTTGACTCTAACAGAGAGGAAGGGAAGCTTCAGAAGAGGATAGAGTCATGCCCCCAATGAATCTCCTATGGAATCATCCCCCAGAAGACCCTCTGGATTGGCCTAGTATCAGGGAAGGTCCTGGAGAGCTGTTTCCGCCCAGAAGCACACCCCAGACACTCCAGATAAGGGAGTGTGGTGTGCCCTCTACCTTCCCACTGTTGGAAGACACGGGACCTCCATGGCTCACCTGGCCTCCCTACCCACCATCTGCACCTGTCCCCTGGCAGAGCACACAGGTTGTTATTGGGAGACCTTGTTCTGTCCTGGCCTGGTGGTCTCCAGCTGGGGCCCTTGGGCACAACGCGTAGCATCCCTGCGCCTGAGTGATCTCAGCTATGAAGAGGGCTCTGCTGGCATCTTAACAAATTTCATCAGGTTCTAAAATGGACAGCCTTTGATGCGGCAATTCCTTGCAGGAATGTTTCCTATGGGAATAATTTCACATCTGCAAAGTATCCCATGCACAGAAATATTCATTGCACCATTGTCAAGAGTGACTGGACAGCCTGAATGCCTTTCAGTAGGAGACAATAAATGACAGACACTGGGCAACAGGGTATGGGCAGCCTTGGGAAGAATGGGACAGAGCTGTCTGGACTAACATGGAATAAACTCCGAGGCAGGATGTAAGGTGAAGAAAGCGCAGCACTGTGAGTTCAGGACACTACCATTTGCATTTTTCAAAAAAAGAATATGCATACAATCGCATGTATGTGAATTATAGTGAATCACACGCTTGCCTCAGTTCCTCACCCTCCCTACAGCCCACCCCTTGGCACTGTGACCTTGCAGCTTCTCCAGCAGAAAGACAGGGTGGTCCCACCTCTCAGCTGCGAGTTGGACCAGGCACATGGTTTGGGCAACAGGATGAGGAGGAGGTTATACCATGGCCCAGCTCTGCAAGTAGCAGTAGGGGCTATTAGACATAGGGGAAAGGGCGGGCAGGGAGGCTCATGCCTGTAATCCCAGCACTTTGGGAGGCTGAGGCAGGAGGATCACTTGAGGTCAGGGAGTTCGAGACCAGCCTGGTCAATATAGTGAAACCCCATCTCTAATAAAAATACAAAAATTAGCTAGGGGTAGTGGCAAGCCCCTGTAATCCCAGCTACCTGGGAGGCTGAGGCAGAAGAATCACTTGAACCTGGGAGACGGAGGTTGCAGTGAGCCAAAATCATGCCACTGCTCTTCAGCCTGGGCAGCAGAGTGAGCTGAGATCGATCATGCCACTGCACTCTGGTGTGGACAACAGAGCGAGACTCCATCTCAAAAAAAAAAAAAAGGAAAAAGAAAAGAGGTGTATTTGACTCATGATCCTGACGGCTGAAAAGTTCAAGAGTGGGTGTCTGCTTCTTCTCATGGTAGACGGTGAGGGGAGCCCACATGCGTATGTTGAGATCACATATGAGAGAAGCAGCAGGAGAGAGGGGAGGAGATGGTAAGCTTTTGTTAACAGCCAGCTCTCTTGGGAACTAGTAGAGAGAGAACTGAGTTACTACCACAAGAACAGGACCAATCCGTTCAAGAGGGACCTCGCCCTCATGACCCAAATATCTCCAACACTGGCCATCCCCAACTCCAACAATGGGGACCAAATTTTATCATGAGGCTTGAGGGGACAAACATCTAAACTACGGCAACGACTGATCTTTGACAAAGGTATCGAGGTGAGTCAGTACAGAAAATACAGCCCTTACAACAATTAGACTTTCATATGCAAACAAATCCAATTCAAGGCTGGGCACAGTGGCTCATGCCTGTAATCCCAGCACTTTAGGAGGGCAAGGTAGGCGGATCACCTGAGATTAAGAGTTCAAACCCAGCCTGGCCAACATGGTGAAACCGCATCTCTACTAAAAGTACAAAAAATTAGCTAGGCATGGTGGCGTGTGTCTGCAGTCCCAGTTACTGGGGAGGCTGAGGCAGGCGAATGGCTTGAACCTAGGAGGTGGAGGTTGCAGTGAGCCAAGATCATGTCCCTGCACTCCAGCCTAGGCTAAAGCACAAAACTCCCATCTCAAAAAAAAAAAAAATTCAATCCATACCTCATACCATATATAAAAATTAACTCAAAATGGATCACAGGCAAAAACACAAAATTATAAAACTTCCAAAAGAAAACGTAGGAGAAACGTTTTTTGACCTCAGGTTTGGCAAAGGTCTCTTAGCTACAACACTTAAAGCATGATCCACTGCCATGCTGGGGATGGGCACACCTAGGGAAGATGTGAACTTCATCAAAAGGTAAAACTCTCTCCGAAAGATACTGACAAGAGAATAAAGAGACAAGCCAGGTCAGGCGTGGCGGCTTGCACCTTAACCCCAGCACACTGGGAGGCCGACACAGGTGGGTCACTTGAGCCCAGGAGTTTAAGACTAGCCTGGGCAACATAGACACCCCATCTCCATAAAAAAATAAACCAATTTAGCCTCCTATGGCAGTGCATATCTGTGGTCCCAGCTACTTGGGAGGCTGAGGTAGAGGGATTGCTTGAGCTGGGGAGTTCAAGTTTGTCGTGAGCCGTGATTATACACTCCAGTCTGGGCAACAGAGTGAGACCTGGTCTCAAAAAGAAAGGCAAGCTAAAGACATGGAAAGATATTTACAAATTGAAGCTCTGATCAAGAACTTGTATCTAGAATTTGTATCTAGAATACACAAAGAACAATTAAAACTCTGTAATTTTAAAAAGCAATTCTTTTAGAAGGGCAAAACAATTAAACGGATGCTTCATCAAGTAAAACATGCAGACAGCAAAAGCACATGAAGAGATCCTTGACATCCCCAATTATCATAGGTACATAAATGAAAACTACCATGAGATAGATACCTAGTAAGATGGCTCAAATTAAAAAAGATCAGCTACACCAAGTGTTGGTGACGATGTGGAGGATCTGGAAGTGTAGACACTCCAGGTAGAATGTAAAAGGGTGGAAAACAGTCAACAGGTTTGTTTGTTTTTCTAAGTTAAACATACACCTACCATATGATTCAGGAATTCCACTCCCTGGTATTTACCCAAGAGAATGCATATATTCATACAAAGCCTTGTACACCAATGTTCATAGCAGCTCTGTGTGTAACAGGTAAATAGAAACAACCCAGGTGTCCTTCTGGGCGAATGAATGAACTGTGCTCTATTCACAGAATGCAGCATTACTCAATAATATAAAGAATGACTACTGATGCCCATGATCACACAGAAAAATCTCAACATAATTATGCTAAGTGAAAGAAGCCAGAAAAAAAGGTACATAGTCTATCACTCCACTTACATAAAATTCTCAGAAATGCAAACTAATCTACCGTGACAGAAAGCAGGTCAGTCGTTTGGGGACATCAGGGTATGGTCTGTTAGGTAAGGTTACAAAGGAGCCCAAGGACGTGGCTAAGGGTTGTGTATATGTTCATTATCTTGATGGTGGCGGTGGGTTCAGGGGGGAATACCTATGTCAGAACTTACCACACTGTACGTTTGACATACATGCAGTTTATCACACGCCAGTCAAACCTCCAGGAGTGCAGTTTGTAGAAAAATCTGTTCAAAAATCACAGATCCTTTTGTAGTTCACAAACACGATAACTGGGTGCTCATGCACATGTGTAAGGTGTGCCTCCCTCAGACATTGCTACAATGTCAGCACATTACCCGTCTGACACGAAAATAAATAATCACAAACTGTCTCCCTGAAATCTTAAAATGTCATATAATACTTCTAATTCTGAAGGGTGTCTGGTCCCCTGACATTTACCCTAGACCCTAGGTGAATACCTCCTGGTTCAAGTCCCCTACCTGCTTTCGGGGTCTCAGGGACAGAGGAACCCAGTAAGGCAGTGCTGCTTCTGCCCTGGGTACAGGTAGGCAGCCCCCGAATCTGGTCTGGCACTCACAGCAGATGGGGTCTTGGAGAATGGCCCAGGGAGCAGCGTGTATTTGAGTAAGATCCAGAGGAGACTGAAGTGAACTTGAGGCTGCATTTGCAGGAAAGACAGGAGGCTCTCAGGCACAGTAGACCCCGGCTCAGGAAGACGGTGTCCGGGGACAGGGTCCCAGCTCCTACTGCAGCTTGAAAAGAGGCAGGCTGCCGTGGCTCGCTCTGAGGCCTCCAAGATCATTTGGAGGGGGATCCGCCAAAGCCTGCAAACCAGGTGTGCTGGGATTCTCAGCTGCTTACTGCCATGCTACTATGAGAAAGTGTCGTGGTCCTCCTCTGAAAAGTGGGATGTACAACCAGCTCTAGAGCTTATGGACACATGAGGGCTGCCTTTGTTACCATCTGTCTCACTCTGGTCTACAAGAGCTTTCACATCCATCCCCTGGGAGCTTCTAACACACTTAGGCAGGAAGGAGAGGGGCTGCCATCACCTCCAGGAGCAGATGGAGAAGCTGATGCCCATAGCAGGTACATTAGGTGGCCCGCTGGTTCTCCCAAGGCTCCTGAACTCAGCGTGGTGCTGTGAGGGCCTGGGAGTTGAAGGGGACTCTTTTCTGGAGGCCCGGGGATGGCTCCTGCAACCATACTTTTGTGTTTGGAGTATCCTCTCATGGGATGCCGCTTCTGGACCCACATTCTCTGCTCTCCTCACCCCACAGGGGCATGTTGGGGCCAGGGCCAAGTGGCTGAGCATTTGCTTTCCTTACCGAATGACCTGGGAGGCACACTTCTTTCTTGTAGGTTTGAAATGTGCTATTCCTAGAAAAGAGAGGAAAGCTTAGAAGTTTCAGGGTTTATGTAAACTGGGGGGGCAGGGATGCTAGGGCACAGGCCCACACCTGCCTTCTCAGAACTGACTCTCAACAATAAAGCCCAGGGGTGGCGGGGCAGGGGGGCATCTTGTGAGCCCAAGAAGAGTGAGAGGGTGGCACTAGAAGCAGGTATGTGCTCACTCATGTGTCAATGTCTAGGGCTTCCTGGGGGCTGGCTGTGGTGGAATCCTGCATTCCCAAGCCAACCAGCTTCAAGCTGACTAAGCGAAACATGTGCTTGGAGCATCAGGAAAGACGGGTGCGTTCCAGCCTGGTGAGAACTTCACAGGGCAGGGAGCTGCCAATCCATCACCTATGATGGTTTGTCAGACACCCCAACTTACTGAAATACTGAAGGTAAACATGGTCAAACCGTCCATTAAACAACCTCCTTCCACTATAGAAACCCAGGTGCCTTGCCTCTGGGACGACAAAGCATTCGGGGTTATGCAGCCCGTTATTCTTCCCTGTTCCACCCCGCAACGAACTGCTTGAATGTGGGGTATAGAGCATCTCCAGCGACCGCAAAGCCCCGTTTCCCTAACAGTGACGGGTCAAAGTGCTTTGCAGTGTGGAAACTATAAGAGCCATACAAATGTGCTTCACTTTCATCGCAACCATTATTATTATTGTTATATTTTGTTAGAGTAATAGATTCAAGCATCGACTCTCCCACCTGATGCCTGAAAACACAGAGGATGGGGGCATTGCCCTGCACAGCATCCGAGGCCCCTTCTGGTCACCACAGCACTGCTGTATTCCTGGGGGGACCCACACCCATCTCAGTCCTGTAGTTCAGGTGGGCCCAATTCACCACAACCCTGGGGAAAAAGAATCTTCTTTTTGTTGAGGATGATGATCTGATAACATGTAAACCTCAGGAGGTCCTGGCGATCGTCTTGCCTTCACAAGGGAAGCCAGTAAAAAGGAGAGCAGCTGAAAGATGGAGAGCAAGTTTCCAGGACCACGGTCAGTGTGCACCCGGATACATCCACGCCCGAAGGCCCACTCCTGGCCTTTTCAGCTACCTAAAACGATCAGGCCGGGCGTGGTGGCTCACGCCTGTAATCCTAGCACTTTGGGAGGCCGAGGTGGGTGGATCACCTGAGGCCAGGAGTTCAAAACCAGCCTGGCCGTCACGGTGAAACCCCATCTTAAAAAAAAAAAAAAAGAAAGAAAAAGAAAGAAACGATCAGTTGCGTTTTTGTCCTTGTGCCAATGTCAGTGAGGTTTCTGTGGGTCCCGGTCAGGAGCTCTGCCTAGGCACAGGTCATGGAGCAATGCCCGTCCTGGCACTCACGGGCGCGGTGTTGGGTGCCCGCGGGAAGGATTCAGGACGTACTTGCCTGGCATCCTGCGCGCTGGGTCTGAGTGCCAGCCTGCAGAGCCCCACGCGCCCCGGGCTCGGATCCCAGGCAGCAGCGCCCGAGGCTGCTCCAGTGCCCTTAGGATGATGGTGACAACGCCGCGGGGGCGGTGGGGACCGGCTCGCACACGTATGGCTTCTTATGGCTGACGCGCCCTTTCACACACATATTCCTCAGGCCCGGCCGCCCCGGCTCCTGCCTCTCACTTCAGCCCCAGTGCGAGCCCAACCGCAACCCCAACCTTAACCCACTGGAACAGCCTGACAACCCCCGCGCACGCGCGCGTGCCCGTCCCGCTGACTGGCCCGCCCCCAGCCAATCAAAAGCGGCCTTCTAGGTATGTGAACTTAGCTGACGGCTGATTGGTCCCTGGCGCAGGGACGCGAGGTTAGAGAGTTAGAGCGCGGCTGCGTGGGGTTGCCGGACGCCTGCCATTCCCGCTGGTGTTGGTTCTGCAGCCCTCGGCGAAGGGAGCCACTCATCATTTCCGACAGATGCGTCGGGGCCGCCCGCCGCCCTAGCCAGGGTCTCCATACCCTGCAAGGAGAAAAAAAAGGTGAGAGCAGCCCGCGCGGTCCGGCGTCTCGCATAGGCGCTTCGGGTGAAATCACTGCTTTACTCGGATGAAGCCGGCGCTGCACCGCGAACCCCTTCACCTCCCACCCCGTCCGCTCTTTCCTCTCGAACGCGTGTACTTTGGGCGGTCGCTGACCTGAAGACGGGCCGTGTGTCTTCGTATTTCGGTGAAACCCAGTGTTCTCTCCCTCTCTAACTATGTTCTTTAAGTGATCGCCAGTTCCAGTTTGTACTTTGGGAAGCGGTTGGGTCTCCTCCCACTTTTCCGCATTTTCGTGCTGACTCTGGTGCGGGATTACTACCTGTGTTTGCCCAAACCATCACGAGTCCACGAGCCCTGCTGGGCGATACTTCGGTGCCGCCTTCTAGCCACGGAGCAAACACAGTTTCCCAGGCGCTGGCTGCCCTGTCGGATTTCTTGGCTTTGTTATTTGACCGTTAAGATCATGACCTGTGAACGGGACCGAGTTTCCAGCCAGCACATACACACATGCTCTCCTGACCGGCATCCACGCTGATTAGGCAGTGCCCCTGCCGTACTAAGGTGCGGTATCTGCTTAATGTTTCAGGTATCCCACCGTGTGTGTGTGTAAATCATGTTGTCACTGCCCTTTGTAGCTAATGACAAAATTATCCAAGAGTCTCACCATTAGCGTAGCTCCTTTTTTTTTTTTTTTTTTTTTTGAGATGGAGTTTCGCTCTTGTTACCCAGGCTGGAGTGCAATGGCGCCATCTCGGCTCACCGCAACCTCCGCCTCCTGGGTTCAGGCAATTCTCCTGCCTCAGCCTCCTGAGTAGCTGGGATTACAGGCACGCGCCACCAGGCCCAGCTAATTTTTTGTATTTTGAGTAGAGACGGGGTTTCACCATGTTGACCAGGATGGTCTCGATCTCTTGACCTCGTGATCCACCCGCCTCGGCCTCCCAAAATGTTGGGATTACAGGCGTGAGCCACCCGGCCCGCTCCTTTTTTTAATACCTGTCTCATTTCTGCCCACTGTGAAGCACTCAGCTTCTCTGCTGTCTCTGTTTTCCTCCTGAGCACACTGAAACATTGTTATACCACGACAGGGCATGGAAGATAGGCTTGTGCTCCCCGGGATGCTCAGGCCTTAACCTCTGGCACACCAAGTCTTGTCATTCCATGTCAAGAAGAGCTCTTCACCCACCCAAGAATGGCTAAAATTTAAAAAACTGACAAATTAAAAAGGACTGACAATACCTACTGTGTACCGCAGTGGAAAAGAACACACAACCACAACCCACAACAGTGAGGATGATGCATACCCCAAAATGTACAGACAATTCCACATGTGTGACATTCAAAACCAGGAAAGTAAATCCATCATGGCACAGGCTGGGGATGTGAAGCAAACTCCACTGTTGTACAGAATTCCTCTGTGAACATGCCACACTTTTTTTTTTTTAATGCATATTTTTTAAATCCATATTTCAGCTAATGTTTTAAAAATCTTTTCTCCTAGGCTGGGCGTGGTGGCTCAAGCCTGTAATCACAGCACTTTGGGAGGCCGAGGCGGGTGGATCACGAGGTCAAGAGATCGAGACCATCCTGGTCAACATGGTGAAACCCCGTCTCTACTAAAGATACAAAAAATTAGCTGGGCATGGTGGCACGTGCCTGTAATCCCAGCTACTCAGGAGGCTGAGGCAGGAGAATTGTCTGAACCCAGGAGGCAGAGATTGCGGTGAGCCGAGATCGCGCCATTGCACTCCAGCCTGGGTAATGAGCGAAACTCCGTCTCAAAAAAAAAAAAAATTTCTCCTTCAATTCTCAATATTCTGGGAATAAAAGTTTATTAAATTTTTTTTTTTTTTTTTAAATCTTCTCCTATGAATGGACATGTGGGTCATTTCCTGTTTGGGGCCGTCAGGAAGAAAGCTGCTGTGGATGGTTTGTTCATACCTTCTGGTACACATAAGCTCTCATTTCTCTTGGGTGAGGCAAGGAATTAGTTGGTCATCGGGTATTCATATGTTTAGATGTTGTAAATACTCCCAGTTGCCAATGTGGTTGTATCCATTTCATGCGCAGTGTATGAGAGGGGGTCCAGCTGCCTAGATCCTCAACAAACCAGGTATTGTCAGCCTCAAAAAAAAAAAAACCATCCTGGCCAACATGGTGAAACCTGGTCTCTACTAAAATACTAAAAATTAGCCGGGTAGAGCAGTATGCACCTGTCATCCCAGCTACTTGGGAGGCTGAGGCAGAGGAATCACTTGAACCCAGGAAGTGGAGGTTGCAGTGAGTCAAGATCGCACCACTGCACTCCAGCCTGGCAACAGAGCAAGACTCCATCTCAAAAAAAAAAAGAAGAAAAATCTCAGGCCTTTCACTGGGGACAATTTTGGGATCTCTCTGAAGTTGAGCAGTCCCTTCCCAGGCTGGATCCTGAGTGATGAGGTCAGGGTCACCGAGGTGCCTCTGACTTGTGTCTGTTTGCATTTTGTGTTCACCACTCCTTAATGCCCTGTGTCATGTGACTGATGCCCACTGCAGACATTGTGCTGGGCACCTCTGCTGTAAACCCTTGCCTGTTCCTCCAGGGGTTGCTGGCTTTATCATCTCCCCTTATTCTCCTAGCCTCTCCAGTCATGACAGTTTACACATCTATCTTCCAGGGGCCATCCGAGTCTTCCTTTACTTCACCTTTGTGCTGTCTGCTGAGGCAGCCACATCATCATCATCACCCTCCTTGCTGTTACCAGAGCAGCATGAAAGGGCACAGCTACGCAGAACAGCCACAATCTGAGTTGGCTAATTTTCCAATTATCTCTGTCACCATCTCATCCCCCGACCCCCACCACAGGACACTGAAGACCCGCCTCCTACTACTGTGTATGAAATCATCAGAGTCCCCAACTCCACCCAGAGTTCGTCACTTCCCAGGACTCCCACAGCTCCACTTTGGTTCAGACCAGAATGCAAGAAGCAGCTTCCTCAGTGGGCGTCTCCCACCTTCACCCTCCTCGTCAGCAGGCCATTCTCAACACAGAGCCTCCAGGGGCTCCTGTGGGGCCTAGAGAGCCACAGTCCTTGCTATGACCCACAAGGCACTATGAGATCTGTGCCTAGCTAATAAAAGCACACACATGCACCCACACAAATGTGCACACACACATGCATGCTGACATCACACACGCACGCACTGATGCACCTTCACCCTGCTTGCTGTCCTGCCTTCATTTCCTACGGCTTCCTCCTTGTTCCAGCCACGGTGCCCAGTGCTGCTTTCTTATCCCACCATGGCCTTGCACCTGCCTCTGCTCCCTCTGCCTGAATTGCTCTTCCCCAGGTGGCTCAGGGCTGCCTCACTACATCTAGGTCTCAGTGACTGAGTTCCCTATTTAAGGTCCACACAATAGTGTGTTGCCGAGAGTAGACTTGGGGCAAAGCAGATTTAGAGTTTTCAGGTAGTGGTGGTGGTGGTGGTGGCGGTGATGGTGATGGTGGTGATGGTGGTGATGGTGGTGGTGGTGGCGGTGGTGGTAATGGTGGTGATGGTGGTGATGGAGGTGGTGGCGGTGATGGTAATGGTGGTGATGGTGGTGATGGTGGCGGTGGTGGCGGTGATGGTAATGGTGGTGATGGTGGTGATGGAGGTGGTGGCGGCGGTGATGGTAATGGTGGTGATGGTGGTGATGGAGGTGGTGGCGGCGGTGATGGTAATGGTGGTGATGGTGGTGATGGAGGTGGTGGCGGCGGTGATGGTAATGGTGGTGATGGTGCTGATGGAGGTGGTGACGGTGGTTAATGTTGCAGAAGTTCCTTACGTGTCAGGTCTAGCCTGCATGATGGTAATGGTGCTGATGGAGGTGGTGACGGTGGTTAATGTTGCAGAAGTTCCTTACGTGTCAGGTCGAGCCTGCATGATGGTAATGGTGGTGATGGAGGTGGTGACGGTGGTTAATGTTGCAGAAGTTCCTTACGTGTCAGGTCGAGCCTGCATGATGGTAATGGTGCTGATGGAGGTGGTGACGGTGGTTAATGTTGCAGAAGTTCCTTACGTGTCAGGTCGAGCCTGCATGATGGTAATGGTGGTGATGGAGGTGGTGACGGTGGTTAATGTTGCAGAAGTTCCTTACGTGTCAGGTCGAGCCTGCATGATGGTGATGGTGCTGATGGAGGTGGTGACGGTGGTTAATGTTGCAGAAGTTCCTTACGTGTCAGGTCGAGCCTGCATGATGGTGATGGTGCTGATGGAGGTGGTGACGGTGGTTAATGTTGCAGAAGTTCCTTACGTGTCAGGTCGAGCCTGCATGATGGTAATGGTGCTGATGGAGGTGGTGACGGTGGTTAATGTTGCAGAAGTTCCTTACGTGTCAGGTCGAGCCTGCATGATGGTAATGGTGCTGATGGAGGTGGTGACGGTGGTTAATGTTGCAGAAGTTCCTTACGTGTCAGGTCGAGCCTGCATGATGGTGATGGTGCTGATGGAGGTGGTGACGGTGGTTAATGTTGCAGAAGTTCCTTACGTGTCAGGTCGAGCCTGCATGATGGTAATGGTGCTGATGGAGGTGGTGACGGTGGTTAATGTTGCAGAAGTTCCTTACGTGTCAGGTCGAGCCTGCATGATGGTAATGGTGCTGATGGAGGTGGTGACGGTGGTTAATGTTGCAGAAGTTCCTTACGTGTCAGGTCGAGCCTGCATGATGGTAATGGTGCTGATGGAGGTGGTGACGGTGGTTAATGTTGCAGAAGTTCCTTACGTGTCAGGTCGAGCCTGCATGATGGTGATGGTGCTGATGGAGGTGGTGACGGTGGTTAATGTTGCAGAAGTTCCTTACGTGTCAGGTCGAGCCTGCATGATGGTAATGGTGGTGATGGAGGTGGTGACGGTGGTTAATGTTGCAGAAGTTCCTTACGTGTCAGGTCTAGCCTGCATGATGGTAATGGTGCTGATGGAGGTGGTGACGGTGGTTAATGTTGCAGAAGTTCCTTACGTGTCAGGTCGAGCCTGCATGATGGTGATGGTGCTGATGGAGGTGGTGACGGTGGTTAATGTTGCAGAAGTTCCTTACGTGTCAGGTCGAGCCTGCATGATGGTGATGGTGCTGATGGAGGTGGTGACGGTGGTTAATGTTGCAGAAGTTCCTTACGTGTCAGGTCGAGCCTGCATGATGGTAATGGTGGTGATGGAGGTGGTGACGGTGGTTAATGTTGCAGAAGTTCCTTACGTGTCAGGTCGAGCCTGCATGATGGTAATGGTGGTGATGGAGGTGGTGACGGTGGTTAATGTTGCAGAAGTTCCTTACGTGTCAGGTCGAGCCTGCATGATGGTGATGGTGCTGATGGAGGTGGTGACGGTGGTTAATGTTGCAGAAGTTCCTTACGTGTCAGGTCGAGCCTGCATGATGGTGATGGTGCTGATGGAGGTGGTGACGGTGGTTAATGTTGCAGAAGTTCCTTACGTGTCAGGTCGAGCCTGCATGATGGTAATGGTGGTGATGGAGGTGGTGACGGTGGTTAATGTTGCAGAAGTTCCTTACGTGTCAGGTCGAGCCTGCATGATGGTAATGGTGCTGATGGAGGTGGTGACGGTGGTTAATGTTGCAGAAGTTCCTTACGTGTCAGGTCGAGCCTGCATGATGGTGATGGTGCTGATGGAGGTGGTGACGGTGGTTAATGTTGCAGAAGTTCCTTACGTGTCAGGTCTAGCCTGCATGATGGTAATGGTGCTGATGGAGGTGGTGACGGTGGTTAATGTTGCAGAAGTTCCTTACGTGTCAGGTCGAGCCTGCATGATGGTGATGGTGCTGATGGAGGTGGTGACGGTGGTTAATGTTGCAGAAGTTCCTTACGTGTCAGGTCGAGCCTGCATGATGGTAATGGTGCTGATGGAGGTGGTGACGGTGGTTAATGTTGCAGAAGTTCCTTACGTGTCAGGTCGAGCCTGCATGATGGTGATGGTGCTGATGGAGGTGGTGACGGTGGTTAATGTTGCAGAAGTTCCTTACGTGTCAGGTCGAGCCTGCATGATGGTGATGGTGCTGATGGAGGTGGTGACGGTGGTTAATGTTGCAGAAGTTCCTTACGTGTCAGGTCGAGCCTGCATGATGGTAATGGTGCTGATGGAGGTGGTGACGGTGGTTAATGTTGCAGAAGTTCCTTACGTGTCAGGTCGAGCCTGCATGATGGTGATGGTGCTGATGGAGGTGGTGACGGTGGTTAATGTTGCAGAAGTTCCTTACGTGTCAGGTCGAGCCTGCATGATGGTGATGGTGCTGATGGAGGTGGTGACGGTGGTTAATGTTGCAGAAGTTCCTTACGTGTCAGGTCGAGCCTGCATGATGGTGATGGTGCTGATGGAGGTGGTGACGGTGGTTAATGTTGCAGAAGTTCCTTACGTGTCAGGTCGAGCCTGCATGATGGTGATGGTGCTGATGGAGGTGGTGACGGTGGTTAATGTTGCAGAAGTTCCTTACGTGTCAGGTCGAGCCTGCATGATGGTGATGGTGCTGATGGAGGTGGTGACGGTGGTTAATGTTGCAGAAGTTCCTTACGTGTCAGGTCGAGCCTGCATGATGGTAATGGTGCTGATGGAGGTGGTGACGGTGGTTAATGTTGCAGAAGTTCCTTACGTGTCAGGTCGAGCCTGCATGATGGTGATGGTGCTGATGGAGGTGGTGACGGTGGTTAATGTTGCAGAAGTTCCTTACGTGTCAGGTCGAGCCTGCCTGCCTTCTGAATTCAACTCATTTACTCCCAACAGCAACCTACGAGGCAGCTTACTGTCACCATCTTACAGATGAGGAAACCAAGACTTCCTCGCCTTGGGCAAGGGAAACTCACTAATGGGCTCTTTTC